CACAGGGAGCAGCAGGCTGGCAGCAGCACCTGCCTCAGGCAACCTGATCTTCCTGCAGTCACTCACTTTGCCTAGCCTACACCTAGAACCAGCCTTGTGGTTGTCTTGTACCTCTGTAAAGGTTCCAAAAGTCAAAGAAAAAATTAGTATTTAAACATCTAAAGAATATGCAGGAAGCTGTAGTGGTAGTGGTTATTTTTGGATGTGTATTTTCTCTTTTGTTGCTGCTAAATATCTGCCATGTCTATTTATGCCTTATCTATGCCAACCCTCCCACTATTGTTATCAACAGTACTGCTGACCAAGAACATGAAAACTAAGACAAAATTACTACAAAGAAACTTTGGCACACCCTTTTCACTCTGTCCCCTCTCCTGGTCTGAGAGAGATTGCTCTTTTGGTGTATTTAACTGCATACTTTGCAATGGTTTTTACAATGTTACAAACTGTCACCAACAACTATGCTTTCTGAACATAAAGAGAATAAAATGAGTGAAATTATTACACAACCTAGCTGTTGTTTTTGAAAAGCAAGGTGCAAGAACTGCTCGCTTGTGCATTTATTGTGTACAGGTAGCTGCAAAAACATTCAATACAATAAAAAGATAGGAGTTTTGGTACAATCAGACAGCTAGTTGCTGGGGACAAAGGCTTCTCCAGTGTCTCCCAGTGCTCAGTGTTATCTTTGGCCTTCTAGTGCTAAATAAGATATTAAACATGCTAAGGCCAGGGAGAGAAACACTCATGGATGCTGAATCTTCTTCCACTTGGCTACAGCACTACGAAGCACTCCACACTGCCTTGTTTTCTGATGGATGCCATCTAGCCAGGACATTTCCACATTTTTCCAGTATTACAATCCACACAACACAGAAGCCAGTCTAAATTCCACTGAATACAAGAACCTCTTTCACTGCCTCATCACTTACTTGTTGTGATAATCAAACAACTGTTCCATAGCACACTATGGTCAACACTGACCTGAAGGAAGAGACACCACAGTCCTAAAAGTAAAAGCAGTTTAGACCCCAAGAGCACACCTCAGAAAAATTTATTTTTTTAAAAAATACAAACCTTCCAGAGCATGCTACCCATTCAGCCAGATGGCTTGCCCCCCTCAACCCAACTGGTATGTATATATGCATGTGTGCACATATATAAAAATCTCAAAAATAGCTAAAGGCATTAAGAAGCACTTAATCATCTATTATTAATCTTCACTTATCAGCCTGGAACTTTAAGAACTTAAACCACAAGCTGTCTCCAATGAGATAACCCTTTTTTAAATGTAGTGAAAAGATCTGTTGCTGAATTCTTCAGGCCTAAAGAGGTGTCTGCATTTACAATGATCAACGAGGAGAAAAAAAGAGAAGAAAAATTGCATCAGTTCTGCTGAAAATTGGTGCAATTAGTTTAGCAACTGGACCACAATGACAGGTCCTTTCTTGCTAGCAGTTACAAAGACAGAATTAAAGAGAGGTTTTGAAATGCAGTTTGCTGCTGTGATTTAGAGAAGTTTTGCAGAAGTCTGGCAACAGCCTGCTCACATAAACTGAAGGATCCCCAACTGTCTTCTCAATCGCAAATAAATATCATATCCCTCACATAGCATCTTCGAGCAATATTTCAAAAGCAAGAGACAAGCTCTGAGTTGCAACGATGATTCAGACTAGTGGGTGAGGAATGTAAATTCCATTTTGCAAAACATTTGGTCTACTAAGCCCTCTATTATCCCATAAGACATGTCAGAGTCTGTCTTGAACAGGGATTCTTTACCAACAAAGAGACCATGTTTATAAGAGTTAGGTTTAAATACTGCCTGAAGTGCTTATATGTTAACTGTCTTGCTGGGCAGGTCATGTAGGGCTGATGTCTCTTCTCACTTCTAGCTTGTCTTGGAGTCAAATAAAAGCTGTGGAAATCCCAAACTGCTTTACTTCTGCCAGACTAATGTATTAATTTTGCTAGAAACTCTGCCTCTGAAGAAAACTGGGATATATACTCTAAAGAGAAAATGGGCTAACAAATTCACCAAACAATCAGCAATTACTTCTGAAGCACAGGGGAAAGCTGGGTAGTACTTGGATGGAGAAGAAAGTGGAAAAATGAACAAACTATTCCATCTTCAAGAAAGAACAAAAGGTGGTAAAAAGCAACCAACCTTCTGACATAGGAAATACCGGCCTATTCAGAACAATCTGAGACTGTGGAGGGAGACCGCCAATAAAACTCTTCAACAGAACAGCTTCCTAAGCACTTTAGGAAATACCTTTTTTCACAGACCTGAAGTAAATCCTGTCTAGTAACTAGACTCAACAAAACCACTGGCAGAAATTACAGCTGAGGAGGAATGACTCAATGTCACCTCCTGGGAGGATATCTCTAAATTATGATTATTTGGGAAAAAAAAAAAAAAAAAAAAAGCAGCAGAGCTTGTTCCATAATACTGGCAAAATACCAACACAGGTCACTGCATTCACCCACCTTGAAAAATGTTTGCAATTGTCTGACTGGTGGGTTCCTTCCCTCTTTTCTTCATCTTTTCTGTAGTAATGTTGCTAACCATTAGATAGATAGTACTCACTGCACCTGTACTTAAGCAAAATAATCTATTTCAAAGTTGTCGTTAAGGATGCAACTCTGTAAAAAGTTTTAGGCTTGCAAAAAAGTTACTATTTACAAATAGCTGATATAATTTTAGGGAGTTGTATCATAAATATTTATAGCAACAGAAGTCTGAATCCAACCGGAAGGTAGAAATCAGTTAGAGAGATATTTTTATTTAAAACACCAACCAACAGTACAGGACATTACATCATCCTGTCTAGTTTGTACAGTATGTTAAATCAAAGACCACATTCCACCCCCTCAGATCACAGACTGAAAGACACTCCTATTTTAAACTAGGATATGAAAACAAGGAGTTTTCCATTGAAGCAGAAGGTTTCCACATCCCTACAGCAAGACTCTTTCTCCAAGAAGGAGGCACAGCAACCTCTCCAGCTGAACAATTATTCTGAATCAGAGGATGAGATTTAAGAAAGGATGTTTCATCACGTTCAAAACAAGCACAACCCTTCAAGAAGAGCTGAATGAAAAAAAGAATAATCCTATCACAGGTGATTTAGATGGCCAATGAGTTATTTGCCACAGAAGCTGAATCTTTAGATCTAAGAAAAAAATGCTCTGAGTGTTGCTAAAATGTTTCAATAAGAGAGCTGCTCAAGTTACAAGACTAAGACATACACCTTCCTGCTACAGGATCTTCTGATTGCATTAAGCAGCCACTGAGGGCAACTGACATTAAGTAATTAATTTTGTAACTGAAATGTTGCAAGATTACTGACACCCTTCCTCAAATTACGAGAGCCAGAAACAAGAAAGCTGACCAAAATGCCTATGACATTGTTTTGTGGTTATTTTAGCTATCACTCTTTGTGCAAAGGTCCCAGATAAAAAAGTTTGCCATCTGCAGCTGCCTCAGAAAAAAATTTTCAAGAGCATCAAAGCCAGATAAACACAAAATCCCAAATTCAGAATTTACAAATGAGTCAGGACAAGCATAGTAACATGCATGAAATGTAATGCTACAGTTCACGCATAAAAGCTTACAGATAAATAACTAATTTAAATGTATGTAGCCTTTGTTTTAACTAAAGAGAAATGCCATAAGTAGTAGTAAAACAGTATCAAATGTAAAAGGAAATAATACAAAATTAAGGGAAAGTAGAGAGAAGTCTCTATAAACCCTACACAAAGAACGCCAAGGTACTGGTATACTCAGCAGGACCATCTTCAGGACTTCTAGACTGCAACATCAAATGTTGGTTAAGTAAGCAATTCAAAGTTAGAACAGCATTTTCCTCAAAACCCTGCTGTTAACCAAACCTTTCAGAGGCTAGTCATCTCAGTTTTGGATTACACAGCGGTGATTAACAGCCTTTGAAAATGAAAACAAAATATTTTCATTTTACCTCCAATGCAACTTGTAATTTGCTCTCGCTATTGCTAAAGCACCTGAGACCACAGGATAGCACTCAGTTGTACTTAATACCACTAAAATGTACAGTTTAAACTGTCAAAGCCATTAAAAATACAAACAGTAGTACATTTTCCTGAAGTCTTGAATCTTTCTATCAATATTCAACACCCTTCTAAAAGAGCACAGCTATTTGTTTCAACAGAAAAGATATGCTGACATTGTATGGCTTAGAGATAGCAGTGGGAGATACCGTATTGCCAAACCCTACACAACACCAGATGATATCAAATTAGGCACTGACCAATTGTGGCACCTACAACACTACTGTCACACCCCAGCATACACTGCTGCTTTTCTTTACTCTTAACACCCCTCTCCTATACTTTCACACAAGAGTTGAGCCAGTGATACTCGCTTAGCACGTCTGCCACAGCCTGGGGAAGGGTCAGAAATCAGTCAAAAGTGGTCATTTCTACCAGCTGATAGTGCTTCTCCACCCAGAAAGTAAAGAGCATAACTGCTCTGCATTTGAAATCAGTGGGAAGGTTTTGGTGTGAGGAAAGAAAGAGGGGAAGAGGCCAAAGCACTGGAGCTGTAAGGAGCAGCTTGTGAACCCAGTACCATTTTACACTGTAAGCTTCATTATGAGATGAAATTTCTTAGTAACAGATCCTAAGCTCTTCAGTGAACTCAGATCAGCTAAGAAGCAGCAGAGTTGGTAGACAAGAGGGAGGAAACACACACCCTGCTCCAGTCACAGCTCTCTCTCTCCATCAGCTCATCTACAAGATTTAAACGATCATTATAAGAGAAGAGAAAGAAAATCAGTATGTTAAAGTATTCAAATAGCATTATCCATCATTATCCAGAGACTGGATTAGGCATTTGTAAACTCTCCCCATGCAACTTTCATCAGAATTACTCTAGATTCAGAGAACACCAATTTTTCAAAAAAACAAATTAGTATTTGTCAGACACTTGCCCTCTCTCCTCCAAATTCCAAACCAACAAAACTTACCTGCTTCTGGATCTGGAGGAATCCTCCACATATACAAATTGAAGTCATCAGAGCCCGAAAGGATGTACTGTTAGGAATAAAAATAAAAGCAATTTACCAAAATTTATCACCTGGATTATATTTTTTTATTGTTGATCTAATTTCTCCAAACCAAAAATGAGAAAAAGCTAATTTGTATCATTCTTTCCACCTGGCTAATCAACCTACCTTTAAATGGGGGTGAGGTATCAGCACAAAAATGCTGCGTGCGTATGAACGGATCAAGACTCAAAAGCACGCTACATGTAGCTAATGCCTCCTGCCCAAAGTGTAGGTTTTCTTTGCCAAATAAGGCTATGGATTTTGGTTGGCTTTAGAACAAGTGTGTCCAGATCAAACTCTCATATCTTGCAGCCTCCAACTCTGGTCTTTTTTTAATGTCAAAGTGTTTCATCCTTTTTTCTCACCTCCTGAACTACTGAGGAAAATTCCATCAAACACATACCTAAGAAGAGAGCTAGTATGTCTGTTACACATAAGCACAACATGTCTGGCTCATCAGTCTACCAAGACCATCAAAAGCCAGTCACTGAGGATAATCTTGAACACTGAACACTGTCAACAAATCTCAAGCAGTTTTAAAAAAACACATTTATCATACTGTTAATTTTTCTCCTGATTATAGTTACTCTGAAAAGATGGAAGGCTGCCCTTTTCAATAATCCATGAATGATAACCAATCTCTTAATTGTACAGAAGTTTAGTCAATATGCAATTTGAAGTAGCTTAATGTACTACAAACATGCACTGGCATGACAGGTGACATTTGACATGGTAAAAAGCTTACGCCTCTCAGTTACAAGAGACAACAAACTGTGCCTTGTCCCCAAATACCTCTTTTCCAATAATCTGTAATTTATTTCTCTCCCAAATTAGAGATGAGATGACATGTAGTGGAACCAAGGGCAGATTCCAATTTCAGTTATAGTGGTGTAGACAGTGTAAATTTCTAGCCCTCAACTGACTTAAGGCTTCTGCTTAATCAATACAGTCAAGAACTAGGTTTTAGATTTTATTATTACTAATATCAGGGTAGAAGGAAGGGAGAAAAATAAAGAAATGGAGCAAGTTTCTCCCTTTTTTAACCTCTGACAGGAGACAAATTCTGTTTTGTTTGGCTCAAATATAACTGGTTTCTGTCTTTCATTCTCCAGGGATACATAAACTCATCAGGCAAAGTAACATCAAGCAGTGAGGAGGCAAGTCCTGGAATAACACAGGACTGAGATGAAAATAGACAAAAAATACACACTAACACAGAGAAAACTGCTATAAATTTGCATACATTCTGTTTGCAAATACTACTTACGTTCATGCAGTGATTGGATGTTTCCAGCCACAAAAATGCAATAACCAACCACTAAAATACCTTCACTGGTTTCCTACTATCACAGTCCAATCATTCTTTTTCTTTTGTCTTATTTTTAAGGATGTAAGATGTGAGTAAGCACTTATGAATGCAATTCTGTTCATTTTCTGACAGGTAAGAACTGATCCATCAAAAGTTCTTTTAAAAACTTGCGCACACTAGTTCTGCACCACTCACAGATCCATCCTTTCCAAGCCAGAAAGTTATTTCTACAAGCCAACATGTTCAAGCACTTAGGCAGCTTACCTCTGCCAAACTGACCTGATGGTGCCAGGAATACATGCTTCCCTTTCATTTGACTGCTCATAAACGTTAGCCCACAGCAGGCTGAGCCACTGTGCCAAAACTACACAAATTAGGGCTTATATAGGCAATCTCCCAGCAATCAGACAGAAAGCACTTCTAATGTTTTGTTGCACAAGAAATGCTACATGGGTAAAAAAAAGTCTTAAGTTATAAAGATGTTGCGAATTGTTAGTATTTATTACCAAATTTTGTGTTTGAAGCAGCAACTGGTTTGCCTAGGACATGTGGGGAAAAACGGAGACTTCTAAAACAGCTGGAAAGCTCAGCATCTTGAGTTTATGACCATAATGCCTTTTTTTTAAAAAAAAAAAAAACCAAAACCAAACAAACAAACACAGCCAAACAAGTTCTAACAACTCCTCAATATGGGAGTCATTCACCCTTTTATGCCATAAATCAAACAAGCTTACCAATGACAAGCCCCAAAGTGACAGATTTCAGATATCCTGCACCAGGCACACAACACAGAAAAAACATACTACATACGTGCAGGGAACGAAGTGTCTGTGAGACTCTTCAAAACAGCTCCCAAACTGCTTTGCAGAGGAAGGCACTATGTATCCTGTAAGATGCAATGGCCAAATTGTCTAGGAAATCAGCTGTATCATTGCCCACCAAACAAGAACATACTACCTGCAAAGACCACTGATGTGAGCACGCTGTCTTGCTTTGTAGATACCAAAATTTAGAGTGCCCTTGCAGTGATGTGGACCAATGGCAATTTGACTGCACTATCAAGACTGTAACCAGGAGGTCAAGACAAGTGATTATTCCCCTCACCCAGCACTTTTGAGGCCACACCTGGAGTACTGTGTCTGGTTTGGGTGCCCCAAGACAACAGTGACACTAATTGAATAGGACAGAGTAGAGGAGGGCTGCTGGAGCTGGAGTCACATGATCTGCAAGGAAAAGCTAAGGGAACTGGCCTTACTCAGCCAGAGAAGATAACCAGTGGTAGAACAAGAGGCAATGGCCTTAATTTGCACCAAGGGAGGTACAGATTGGATGTCAGGAAATATTTCTTCACTGAAAGGGTTCTTGGGCACTAGAACGGGCTGCCTAGGGAGGTGGTTGAGTCACCATCCCCGGAGGTATTTAAAAGGGGCTAGATGTGGTGCTCAGAGATATGGTTTAGTAGTGGACAGGTACGGTTGGACTTGATCTCAAAGGTCTTTTCCAACCAAGCAATTCTGTGATTTTATGATAAAGTGAAGGGATAGAGTAGACCACAACAGTCTCCCACTGTCTGAAGGAATACAGAGCAGCTGCAGACAGACTCTTCTCAGAGGCATGCAGCGGATGCTCAGGAAGCATCAGTCACAAGTCAACAAGGGAAATTCCAGCTGAGTGCAATGGAACAGCATGTTCAGGAGGAGTGTAACAAACACTGGCAACCCAACCCCAGAAAAGTGGTAGAATCTCCACTCTTGCAAATCTGAAATTTACTGGACAATTCCTCAAGCAACCTGATCTTGCTTTGAAGATGCTCTGCTCTGGAAAGCAAGTTAAGTCAGATAGTCAGATGACTTCCAGTCTCTTCTGATTCTTTTTTTTTTTTTTTTTCCTCTCTCCAGAGATTACCAAAGTAAAAAGGGGAATAATTGTCTTGGTGGATTTGGTTTGGCTGGAGGGCGGGAAGGGGAGGGGCCAGGAGAGGTGGGTAGTGGCAGCAAAATGCCCATCTAAAACCTTTACACTCCATCACACATCACAGCTTCACGAAAACTCCAATGGGAAGGCAAACTTAGGCCACATAGAGGCACAAGCTGCAGTTCAGCACATACACTTGCACAAATTCGGGTGGTCACAGTTTGGGGAATATATAGAAAGAAACCAGCAAAGTATCTTGAAGTAGTTCATAGAATGGCTGAGGCTGGAAGGGACCTCCAGAGGTCATCTGGTCAAACCACCCTGCTCAAGCAGGGTCACCTAGAGCCGACTGCCTAGGGACATGTCCAGATGGCTTCTGAGTATCTCCTATTGAGATAGTTCCTACATACTTAAAAGCAACATGAAGTCCTTCACTTCATTACCATTCTATAGCCTAATGACATTTGCACCAATCAAATTCACTTGGCCAAACTATTCTGGAGTGAATTAAGAGAAAATAAGTAGGAATGAATAAACCATCTGCATTGCAATTTATGTCTAGTCAGAGAATAAAAGTTCAGCTCGGGATCTGAGCTGTTCTGAAAAAGTGCTTACAAGTTTAACCTTGCAAGTGGGACAACCATCAGTAAGTGTCAAAAGCATAAATTAATAAAGTCATCTACACAAGTTTGACCTTGTAAGGAATGGACTGCAAGTTGCAAACTTTTAATATAAATTTAAATTTTATTTTGATAGCTCTGCCAATAATTATAAAAAATAGATCACATTCCACACGATATCCAACTATTTGCTATCTCTGTCATTCCACTGCCACCACTGTAGCAGCCAGCATTGTTTTCTACTCTCTTTGCCTGTTAGGATACCTCTGGGGTAGAATTTTTCTTGCTGTTCTCACAATACAGAACTGAATCCCCAAATCCATTCCTTTTTTCTTTTTCTGTAAAATCAGGTAATAGGAGTCTGAGAAGTAGAACATGTTTTTTCAGACAGATACCAAGACTGCCAGAAGCACAACTTCATGACTGCAGCTATTTCAAGAAAGATGGGCCAGCTGAAGCTTCAAGAGCAGACACCCAAGCTGCTAAAGCCAAAACCACACCTCTTCAATGACATTTCCAAAAGAAACTCACATCCAATTAGTACTCTCTGCATAAGGCAACGGTAAGCCAAGACCTCTGCAGAGCACAGCTGGACTAATGTTACTAGGACGTTTACATGATAATCTGTGAAAATGTCTTCAATGTATTAATTATTAGTATAACAATAAGCCAATAGTTTTCCACACTAGTTGAAAGTTGGAGAAGAAGGATTGAGAAAATGCAAGTCAGTCCATACTGCTAGAAAATTCAAAGAAATAATTGCTATGAAGCGCACCAAGCCCTAGTTAATAAGGCTGAAATCCTGAGGGAATGGAGTAGACTTTTTAAAAGGAAGGAATAGAAATGAAAGAAAAGGAAGGGGTTGGGGTGGGGTAGATGAAAGAATGTCATGCTGCATATGCTTAGACTCTGCTCTAATCATGGCCGAGGATTTTTGGTCCTGAGGGGATGTGCAAAACATAATTCCTAGCAGAGTACCTTCTACTCATTCACTTTAAGAACAAAAGCCCAGATAAGCAAATCACAGAGGCAAGCCAGTGAAAAGCAATAACATGCACGTTCACAGAGACAAGTAAATGACCAAGACAGTGTACACTCTCCTCCTCCTGCACTACCTCATAAACACAAACTCCAAGCAGAACA